ACTGGGGAAGAGGGCAGCCCATCCCTAGACAAGGAGTCTTCGAGGACACTTTAACACAGAAGTGTTTGGGCCTGAGTTAGGGGTGGCAGCCTCACTTCCAGGCCAGCTCCTCTGTGAGCTCGCACAGCAGAGATAGCTCACCAGTATAAGCTATGCTGCCTCTGGGGCGCTCCCAACACGGGCTTCTCTATAAAAATGTTTATGACATTTATTTGTGTGTTCATGTACATGCATGTGTATGGCACCTCTGTGGAGGTTATAGGACAGCCTGTAAGGTTTTTTCTCCAGGGTGTGTGTCCCCCTCAACCCTTCCTGGAAATGCCTTCACAGACACACCCAGGGACCTCTCAGTTGATCTCAGACCGAGTCAAGTTAACAACTAATATTGAGCATCATGGGGTTCAGTCAGTAGACTGTCACATAAGCGTGAGAAACTGAGTATGATCCTCAGAATTCATGTGTTAAAAAAGCCAGGTGGGAGCCAGATATGGCGGCACATGCCTTTAATCCCAGCACTTGGGAGGTAGAGGCAGGTGGATCTCGATGCATTTGATGAGTTTGAAGACAGTTTAGTCTACATAGCAAATTCCAGGCCAGCCAGATATTCTTAATGAAACCCTGTCTAAAAAAAGAAAAGAAAAAAGAAAGAAGAAAGAAAGAAAGAAAAAGAGACATTGATGGTGTCAGTCTGGTCTATGTATTGAGTTCCAGGACAGCCAGAGCTACACAGGAAACCCTATCTCAAAACAACAAACAAAACAAAAGTTAGGTACAAGGGAAAATTAACTTTCCAGCTGGAGTAGTGGGGGCACTTTCTTTAAACCCAGTACTCGGGAAGCAAATGGATTTCTCTCTGTGAGTTCGAGGCCAGCCTGGTCTATAGAGCTAGTTCTAAGACAGCCAAGGATACATAGTGAGACATTGTCTCAAAAAAAAAAATTATATTTCTTCTATCTTAGAGTTGCCCGTGGAGACCAACACAAGCCAGTGAGATAGGCAAATGCATTAACTATTGGAAAAAGTGCCTGCTCCTGAGGCTGATGACCTGAGCCGGGTCTGCAGGCCCCGTGTGATGGTAGGCCAGGACTGATTGCTAAAGTTTCTCTTACCTTCACATAAGCATCTCTGCAAGAATGTGTACACATGTGCACACACAATAAATTAATAGCATGTCATTTTAAACATTAAAAAAAAAAAGCAGTCAGGCAGTGGTGGCACACACTTTTAATCCCAGCACTAGGGAAGCAGAGTCAGGCAGAGTGAGTCTGAGGCCAGCCTGGTCTACAAAGTGAGTTCTAGGACAGCCAGGATTGTTACACAGTGAAACCCTATCTCAGAAAAATAAAACAAAACAAAAACCAAACCAAAACAAAAAAAAAACCACATGAGATCTTAAAGTATAAATTCTAGCTGTAGTCGATGTAGAGTACACACTAAGCTACTGGGTTCCTTACAATCCAAGTTCATGTCTACAGTTAGCTTATAATACAATCTGTTTGGGTTCAGCACCATATCCCACCAGCTAAGGGCTTAGTCCCACAAGACTGCCATAGTTCTCAATACTAATTGCAAGTACATGTTGCTACATGTATTTCTGATTAGTCATTGTCTTTGGGTTTCTGTTGCTGTGATAAACAACACTACCAAACATAACTTGAGGAAGAAAGGGTTTATTTCATCTTTCAACTCTGTGATCACATCCTGTCTCTGAAAGAGAAGTCGGGGCAGGAACTCTAGGCAGGAGCCTGGAGGCAGGAACTGAAGCAGAAGCTGCTCCCTGGCTTGCTCAACCCGCTCTTTGTATACTGAAGACCACTGGTGTGTAACAACCTAAACGCACTATAAAAGAGCCACAGGGGACTAGGGTGTGTCTCAGTGATAGAGCATTTGTCTGGAGAGCATGAGACTGATGGGTCCCCAGAACCGCTGTGGCTGCTGTCTGTTCACACACATGTAAACACACACTTGCACACACACACTCACATGAGTAATTTACCTTGCTTTTAGAATTGCGTCCAGATAAATCTATCATAAATCGAAGCTAATTGAGTTGACAGTGCATTGAGCATGTCTAACCCATTGGGTATTGGTTCACAACCCATCCACTCTGTGCACTGCAATGGGGCCCTCTGTGTACTCCAGGATCCGTCTACATCCCCGCCTGTAACATGGTCTGAGCCAGGATCCGTCCACATCCTTGCCTGTAACATGGTCTGAGTTATCCCCTGCATGCTTCTTCAGTTCTCCACGCATGCTTGACACAGTCAGCCTTGTTTTCTGGTTGCTGTTGTTGTTTAGTTTGGTTTTTGGTTTGTTTGAGACAGGAATTTTCTGTGTAGCCCTGGCTGTCCTGGGACTCGCTCTGTGGACCAGGCTGACCTCAGACTCAGAAATCCGCCTGCTCTGCCTCCAGTGCTGGGATTAAAGATGTGCGCCTCCATGCCCAGTACAATCAGCCTCCTTTAAATGCGCTCTCCGCCTCCATGCTCAGCACAATCAGCCTCCTTTAGATGCGCTCTTTGCCAGCATCATCTGTCCTCTCGGGAACATCTGAACTACACATGTCTCCTAGTTATCAAGAAGATGCACCCCACGTGTGTCAGTACAGATTGCTGCAGCTGCAGCCCTGGGACACTGCACGTGTTCTGGTGTATTCTTCTGTGTTCTGGCACAAGACTTCCAAACCCTCAGATTTTACTTTTGTGGCTCTTGGAACATGGCTTGTGACTCAATGCTTGGGGTGGCTCAGTAGTCAAAGCCCGTGTAATACAAAGACAAAGACCTGAGTTCACTCCTCAAACCACATAAAAAAAAAAAACAGGTGTGGTCATTTAAATCTGCCAGCCCAGAACTTGGGAGACAGAGACAGATGGGTCCCTGGGGCTGCCTGGTCGGCCAGCCTAGCATAATCAATGAGCTCCAAGCCAATGATGAGCCCTGGTTGCCTGAGAAACAACAGTTGAGGTGAACATTTACCCTCTACATGCATACACATGTATACCTCTCCATGTATTCCCATACACATGCATATTCCTCACATACATGCATGCATATACACATCCACATATACATGCATATCCCACATATACCCATATATGTGCATAACCACATACATGCATAACCACATATATACACATACATATACACATATATGTGCATATACATGAACCATGCCTGCATGATTCCAGGGATTGACCTTTGGCGTGGCAAGAGAATGAAGAGACAGAGACACAAAGAGAGAAAAAAGTGATGTAAAGTGGTCTGGGCTCTCAGATGAAGCAGTACTCTAGAAGCCCAGCATGTTATTAGGAACAGATAAACCAGGAGGTGGGGTTATTACTTGAGGCTGAACAAGAAGGCGGAGTTGGCTAACATTAGCAGAAGCAGGCTCCATAGGGGAGAAGTCTTCAGGTTGTCAACATCTGGGGAAGAAAACCACAGTGGACGTTTTCTGCATAAACTCTCAGCGTTGGCACTCGGGGCAGAGAAAGGATTTGCTATCGCTCCCATTCTCAACAAGGAAAGGTTTTGCCACTCCCATGGTTCTGAGGCATTAGGGTTCATGACACCTTGTCAAAGAGCAAACATTCACTCTGGGCTTCACTTCTTACTCCACACGTATACATTTCCACACACGTGGACACACATGAATTCCTACACACATGTATACTCTCTCAGTTTCTTTGCAATTGGTGTGATAAGATACCGTGACCAAGGCAGCTTAGAAAAGAAAGAGTTGAGTTGTGCTTACGGTTCCAGTATGTTAGAGTTTGTAAGAGGCAGAGCAAGGACATGGTGGCAGCAGCTGGAGCAGCAGCTGAAAGCAGCTGAAAACCCACAAACTGGAGACAGAGGGCACTGAGCATCCTGGAATCTCAAAGCCCACCTCAGTGACACACCTCCTCCAAAAGGCCACACCTCCTAATCCTTCCCAAACAGTTCCACCAACTGGGGACCAAAGATTCAAACATAGAGCCTAAAGGGACCATCCTCATTCAAACTACACACATACTCACACAAATGTGTATACACACGAATACACATATGTGTGTACACATGCGTGCTTGGTCTCCAGAATCATAGTGCTGAGAGCTGTCGGTAACTTTAAGAGGTTTTTAAGGAGAAAGGGGTTATTGTCATGACTGTATTACTCATAAGAACGGTCAAGCTACCTTGGGTATCCAACCTCCCTTGTCTCTTGTCCTTCTGCTGTCCACCAGAACTTAATGTGACACATGGCTCTCACTCAAAGCCCACAGATGAACTGCCTGATCTTAGACTTTCAGATCCAGGATCTCTTACTCTAGAAATGACCCAGCCTCTGGTGCTCTGTGGTAGCAATGAAACGGACTTGGACAGTGCCCGAATAAACCGGACCCCATGGAGTTCATCTGACCCTCCCGGCCATCTGTGAGCTGAAGGTCGGTCCTCACTATAACCAATCTCCCTGGAATCCGGTTCTCCCAGTCCTCAGCTCTTCTCACTGGGAAACAGTATTTAAAAATCGAGAAGACTCTATTGTGGTGGCTGTGATGTGCGCCAGTCCTCAGTAGATTGGGGCAGGAGGATCAGGAGTTACATGCCAGTATGGACTCCATAGTGAGATCCTGTCTCAGTCAACCAAGCAACCAATCCATTAATTGATCAGTAAACCAAGAGTCCAATGTTAGGTGTGTTCAATACTATCGTAATGTCATAAAGGGTACACTTTATTCTATGGTTCTGGGGATGGAACACATCCCCGTGCACGCTAAGCAGGATTTCTGCTGAACTGCACCCCAGTCCTAGGAAAGAAGAGACTTTTTTTTTTTAACTTGGCAAACCACTTTAATATACAACTTTAAATATGAAGGCTGTAATTTCTTTTTTTTTAAAGATTTATTTATTATGTATACAGTGTTCTATCTGTCTGTATGTTTGCTGGCCCAGAGAAGGTACCAGATCTTATTATAGATGGTTGTGAGCCACCATGTGGTTGCTGGGAATTGAACTCAGGACCCCAGGAAGAGCAGTCAGTGCTCTTAACCTCTGAGCCATCTCTCCAGCTCCCAAGGCTGTAATTTCTTGAAACTTCTCACCTTGCTCTTGTACAGAGTTGAGTTTATACTTTCAGGCCTCATCATCAGGAGGGACCCCCAGTTCTTCATCTGTTCACTGTGAAGGATCTGGATATGAAAAGTGGTCCAGCACAGCGTCCGAGTGGCGCCAAAAGCGCCAGAGAATCCAGACCCACATGAGTGATCTTAAGAACTCACCCTGGATCACCTGTTCCCGGGTAAGTTGGGGCAATTTTCTGTACTTGGGTGGAATATGCACCTCACCACCAGCATTACTGACTCCACGATCTCTCCAGCCAGCCTGCGCTCAGCAGTCCCCAGCAAGCAGCCTCCAGCCTCCGAAAGGTGCAAGCCGCCGAAAGGGCAGACAAAGTAGTGGTGAACGGAGAACGATCTGAAAGAACAAACTTTTATAAACTTTTTTTAGTGTATATTTATTTTGATGTGATGGTGTATGCCTTAATTCCTAGCACTCAGGAGGCAGAGGCAGATGGATCTCTACATTCAAGGCCAGCCTGGTCTACAGAACACGTTCTAAGACAGATAGGGCTACACAGAGAAACCCTGTCATGAAAAACAAACAAACAACAACAAAGATTTATTTATTTGAATGTTTTGTCTGCATATGTGTACTATGTGCATGTCTGGCACATGTGAGCTCAGAAGACATTGGATTCTTGGGAGCTAGAATTAATGACGTACTTCGTGGGTCCTCTGGAAAACCCAAGTGTCTAACTGTAGAACCTATCTCCAGCCCCCTAGAAGACATTTTTAAAAAATGTATCATTATATTTTGTGTGTGTGTGTGTGTGTGTGTGTGTGTGTGTGTGCTCGCACACGTGCGCACACATATGCCAGGGCATGTGTATGGTCTGAGGACAATTTTGAGGTTATTTCTCTCCTTCCATCACGTGGACCCCAGGGACTGAACTCTAGTGCTCAGGTTTTGTGTCAAGGGCCTTGACCCCAAGCCATCTTGCCAATACAGAATACATTGTATTCAACACCTCTTTCAATCTGTGATCTGTAACGTTTCCCTTCTGACCCCTCAGGAGGCCTCCAAGCTACCCACCTCTTCAGTCTTCTCTTTCACAGCCTTCTTCAACTAGGTGACCCTCTCCCTTTGCCAACCTTCTCTCCTCTTCCCCGGAGGCTTTCCTTCCTTTCTTGTGGACTGTGGGAGCTGGAGAGATGACTCAGGTTAACAATCTGTACTGCTCTTTCAGAAGACCCCAGGTGATTTCCAACAACCATGTCAGGTGGCTAAGAACCACCTGTAACTCTAAACTCCATGCCAGAGCCCCTGTGGGCACCTGCACACATGCACATACATTTATATAGTTAAAATCAATTAAAAAAAAACCTCAAAAAAGAAAGAAAAGGTAGGGCAGTGGTGGTGCTCGCCTTTAATTCCAGCACTTGGGAGGCAAAGGCAGGCAGATCTCTGTGAGTTCAAGGTCAGCCTGGTCTACAGAGCAAGATCCAGGACAATCAGAGCTACACCGAGAAATCCTGTCTTAAAAAAAAGAAAAGAAAGGAAGGAAGAAAGAAAGAAAGAATGAGAAAGAAAGAAATAAAAATTCTACAGAGCACAGGCTTTTTATTTATTTATTATTATTATGATGATGATGATGATGTATATATGTCTTCATTAGGGTTTCTATTGCTGTGAAGAGACTCCACAACCATGGCAACTCTTTTTTTTAAAAAAAAAAATTTATTTATTTATTATGTATACAATATTCTGTCTGTGTGTATGTCTGCAGGCCAGAAGAGAGCACCAGACCTCATTTCAGATGGTTGTGAGCCACCATATGGTTGCTGGGAATTGAACTCAGGACCTTTGGAAGAGCAGGCAATGTTCTTAACCATTGAGCCATCTCTCCAGCCCCCTCTTTTTTTTTTTTTAAAGATTTATTTATTTATTATGTATACAACATTCTGCCTCCATGTATGCCTGCATGCCAGAAGAGGGCACCAGATCTCATTACAGATGGTTGTGAGCCACTATGTGGTTGCTGGGAATTGAACTCAGGACCTCTGGAAGAGCAGCCAGTGCTCTAAACCACTGAGCCATCTCTCCAGCCCACTACGGCAACTCTTACAAAGGTAAACATTTAATTGGGTGCCTTACAGTTCAGAGGTTCACTCCATTACCATCATGATGGGTCATGGTGCTTTACAGGCAGACAAAGGACTGAAGAGGTAGCTGAGAGCTCCACATCTTGTGCGGGGCAACAGGAAGTGAACTGAGACATGGGATATGGCTTGAGCATATGAGGCCTTAAAGCTTGTCCTCCTCCAACAAAGCCACACCTCCAATAGTGCCACTCCCTTATGAGCTTGGCGGGGGGGGGGCCGGGGGAGACACGGAATGGACGGACCAATTATACTCACACTACCGCAGTGTGTTTGTACCATGGCATGTGTGTGGAGACCTAAAGACGACTTGCAGGCATCAGCTGTTTTTACCATGTGGGGCCCAGGGATTGAACTCAAATTATCAGGCCTGACAGTAAGTGCCTTTATCCACTGAACCATCTTGCCAACCTGGCATGTTTTTTGTTTTGTTTTACTTAGGGTCTCATGTAGCTCAGAGTAGTCTGAACCTCATGATTCTCCCCTGCCTCCTCCTTTTGTGCTGGGCTCACAGGTGTTATCACTGAAGGCTCCCCATGTTTCTGGTCACAAGACACATTCCAGAAGACAGCTGTCAGCATGTCCCAATGACGTGGGTTCAGATGGAAATTACAGCAGTGTACAGTATGGCAGACCACACTTTCTGTCCTCTGAATCACTAACCAGACGCGGAAAACAGGCCCAGGGTACAAGAGAAAAGCACATGAAATTAGAAATTATGTAACCCAATGTCTTGGTTAAGGCTTCTATGGCTGTGATAAAACACCATGATCAAAAGCAACTTTAGCAAGCATTTTATCTTACAACTATCAGGTCACATTCCATCACTGAGGGAATTCAGCACAGGAGCTCAGGCAGGAACCTGGAGGCAGGACCTGATAGAGGATCCATGGAGAATCCTAACCTAAGCCTCATGGCTTGCTCAGCGGCTGCTTCCTAACCTAAGCCTCACGGTTTGCTTAGCTGTTTTCTCATATAACCTACAGCCACCTCCCCAGGTTGGAATTGCCCAACCCTACAGGCCAACCTGATGAAGTGGCTTTACCAACTGAGAGTCCCTCTTCCCAAATGAGTCTAGTTTAGAGCATAAAACTAGTCAGCACACACAGGCCGGCCTGGAACTCAACACGCAGCTGAGGACGGAATGCTGGGATTCTAGGTGTGTACTATCAGACCTGGCTTATTTAGTGCTGGAGATGGAACCCAGGGTCCAGCGTGCGCACTAGGCGAGTACTCCACCCAGCCATGCCTTTGGCCCTCCTGTTTTTAGGTTATTTTATTTTAATGTGTATGACTGCTTCCTCTGCGCAGTGTGCAGGCAGCTTGTCTAGTATTTTGCAGTCAGTGCTCCTAAGCACCTTAGCACTCACAAGGCCCTCAAATTCTGAGTCTTGTTTTGTTTTTCAAGACAGGGTTTCTCCCTGTAACCTTGGCTGTCCTGGAACTTGCTCTGTGGACCAGGCTGACCTTGAACTCACAGAGATCCACCTGCCTCTGCCTCTCAAGTGTTGGGATTAAAGGCTTGTGCCACCACTGCTTGGCCAATTTCTGAGTCTCAAGGAGCCTCCTTTACATAGCAAACTTTCTTGTAGGACTATCTTTTGCGGGACCATCAGCTCCCCAATAACGACCCAGAGACTTACTTTTAATTATGAGAGCTTGGCATTAACTTAGGCTTTCCCCCAACTTAATGAACCCATATTTTTTACATATGTTCTACGATGTAACTCTGTTACCTCTTCTTAGTAAGGCACATATATCCAACTTCATCCGAGTCGGCTGGCGAATCTGTGCACCTGGATTTCTCCTTCTCTTTCTCCCCGGAAATTGGCCTATCTTCTCCTGCCTAGCTATTGGCCATTCGGCTCTTTATTCCACCAATCACAGCAATACATCTTCACACAGTGTACAAATCTCCCACAGCACCTTTAGAGCTGCTTGGGAGTTCTAGTTTCTTTTCTATCACTGACCAACGCAACTTACGGCAGAAAAAGGTTCATTTTGTCTAATACTTGTAGCTCTCAGTCCTGTTGCTGAGGGACACTGGGGCAGGCACTCGCAGGGGCTGCGTGCAGAGGAAGGCTGTGTGCTAGCCTTCTCTCTGACTGGCTCAAGCTTCCCTACCTGCTCAGATCTCCAGGAGTTCCATGAGTGCTGGGAACTATGGTCTGTCCTCCGGAAGAGCATCAAGAGCTCTGAACCACCTCTCTAGCCTCGGTTGTTTTATTTGACAGCCCTTTGAGGAAGGGTTTTTTTGTTTTTTTTTTTAACATACTTCTGACACCTTGTTTGTTTTTGAGACAGTGTCCTATGCAGCAGGCACTGGCCTCTACTATGATCTTCCTGCCTTAGTCTCCCTCAGCTGGGACAGCGGGCGGGCTGTGCTACACACCACCCACCCAGCTCCAGCATGAGCTTATTGAACTCTACAGTGTTTCTGGAAGGTGAGACAACCTTGACAAAAGGGGAAGCTGAAGTCAGCTGACAGCGGTGCCTACCTTTAATCCCAGCACTTGGGAGGCAGAGGCAGGTGGATCTCACTGAGTTTGAGGCAAGTCTGGTCTACAAAGCAAGTTCCTGGACAGCCAGGACTGTTGAACAAAGAAACCCTGTCTTGAAAAAAAACAGAAACAAAACAAAACAAAACAACAACAAAAACCTCAACAACAACAAAAAGGGAAGTCGAGGCACAGAGACCCGGTTCAAACAGGCTGACCAGCTGCGGGCTCACATGGACAACCACCAGCCTCTGCTTCCTTTGCATTTATTTCCTTCTAAGAGTAGTGACTGTTTGGGGGTGGGCTGTGGTTGCCAGCCAGGCATGAGAAGGGAAGCCCAAGCCTCCCTTGAGCCCCCCTGGTTGGCTTCATCTCCTTGGGGACCCTCCACTGCCTCCCCCATCCACTGGCACCCCATTCCTGCCTGTGGTCAGCCCAAATACCAGATAGGGTGAGTCTCAGCCATTCTCAAACATTCCTCATCACTGTGGCTCAATTTAGGCTGGCTGAGGTTATGAAAATAGAGCGGGGCGGTTGGAGCAGGAGGGAACTGGAGGGATGGGCTAGATGGGCCTTGCCACCCTATCCAGCCCTCTGCCTCCTCTCTTCAGGGAGGGGATGGTCATTCCCTCAGGCCCTGTGGTATAGCTCTGTGTGTGTGTGTGTGTGTGTGTGTGTGTGTGAGCATGCGCGTGTGTGTGTGTCCTGTGTTGAGAGATGGAGGACAGCTGTAGTCACAGGGGAAGTTGGAGAAAGTGAATGCTGGAACGGAGCGTGAGGAGAGGCAGCACTGGGCTGATTATGGTAAGATGGGCAGGGAGGGTCTGGAGCGGGTCTGCCCACCCCTGGCTGACTCTGGTTGCTGGTTAGGTGGCCAAGCCTACCCTGTATGGGGGAACCCCTCACCAGACTGGCCTGTTGATCCCCAGAGGCCTCAAGAGCTGCTGCTGCTCCTGATGTTGAGGTGGGCCGGAGCACAGATGGAAGACCCTGCCTTCCCACACTTGGGTGACAGCTCACAGCCCCTGTTGAGGGCCTGTCCTTGGCGCTGCTCGTGTCCCCGAGACGACACAGTGGACTGCGCTGGCCTGGGCCTGAGTGTGTTCCCAGACAACATCACCAAGGCTGCTAGGCACCTGTCCTTGCAGGTGAGGGCCCAGGCAGGGTCCAGGTGGGAGGTCCACGTGCCAGAGCTGAGCCTGGCCAGGCCAAGGCCAGACATAGAAGCACTGTGTGTCTGGAGAGCTGAGTTTGGGGTCCGCATCTTAGAAGGAGTAAAGTTGTTTTAATCAAAACACCGAGTTCCGAGTCAACCATTGTGATGTTGGGGGTGTTTTAGGAAGATCTGAGAAGATCTGCTGGTAAGGATTCTGAGGCAGGAGGATGGACACGAGTTTGAGGTCATCCTTCGCTGCATAGTAAAGCCCCTGTGTGGGGAAAAAAATGGCTAGGGAAGTGTCAGAGACCAGGTTGGAAATTAGCAGCCTGTGGGGCTTGGGGACTCAGGGTAATTGTGTTGACTGCAGGTGTAGTAAGGGGCCCAGTGCCTTGCAAGTCTCAAGGTTGTTTGGGGTCAAGGAAGGGGATGTTTTCTTTTCTCCTCCTCGTCTTGCTTTTGGAGACTTTAGGGATGAACTCAGGGTCTGCGGATGCTAAGCAAGGGCTCTGCGCCCGGCCACACCTCTAGGTTACTAGTGGAGGAGCGAGTGGCAGGCCTTGGTGTGAATGTCTTTTCTCCATGCTGCAGAACAACCAGCTGCAGGAGCTCCCCTACAACGAGTTGTCTCGCCTCAGTGGCTTGCGCACCCTGGACCTGCACAGCAACCTCATCTCCTCAGAGGGTGAGGACCTCGAGCTTGGAACAACCAGGTCCCAGCTCCTCTCCACATCCGCTGTTTGCCCGTTGTGGCCAGCTCTTCGGGGGTTTCCACAACTGCTGAGCACGGTGGAATTTCAAGGGTTGGGGGATGGTAGTGGCTGTGGCTTTTGAATAAGGACAGGATGTGTACGGGGTGGGGGTGGGCAAAAGCCTGGGAACCTCTACTAGTCCCGAGCCCTCGGAGTTGGGGGGGGCTAGACATGCCGGTTCCCTCATACATTGCCCACCGTGCTCCCACCCAGGTCTGCCTGATGAGGCCTTTGAGTCCCTCACCCAGCTAGAGCACTTCTACGTGGCTCACAACAAGGTGAGCCTGTGAGAGGGTGCATCCTGGCTGGGGTCACCCAGCATGCAGGACCTGGGTGTGGGGCTGGGGAGGTGGGAAACCCGGCCCCGGGACCAGATGCTGTTGCTGTTGCAGCTCTCTGTTGCACCCCAGTTCCTGCCACCCTCCCTGCGTGTCGCCGATCTGGCTGCCAATGAAGTGGTGGAAATCTTTCCTCTCACCTTTGGGGAGAAGCCTGAACTCCGGTAGCCTTAGCGCTGGCTCCGCCCCCATCCTTTGATTCCAGGATCCTGCCCCCAGAGGCCAGGGAGAAAGAGGCCTGCTCTGGGAAGCATGCACAAGGCTTTGCATAAGGAAAAACAGAGGGCAGCCCTGTTTTGGAGGGTCTGAGGCACAGCTCTGCCCTGCGGGTGGGGAAGCAGAGAAGGCTGGGTTCTGTTCTGGGAATCCTGGGACAGGACTCTGCGCTTGGGGGCGTGGGAGGAGGCGGGTGGCAGGGTGGACTCAGATCAGTTTTGGAGGGTCTCGGGCCCTCAGCTCAGTTTGTGGAAATATGTCCCTAAACTTGGGATCAGAAGGGCATCAACTTTGGGGAGTCTAGGGTTGTGGCCATGCAGTGGATGGGGGGGGCTTGAATGGTAAAATAGGGTCCCATACACTGTATCAAAAGTCTAGACTAAGCCCAGCAGTAGTGTCTCAGGCCTTTAATTCCAGCCCTTGGGCGGCAGAGGCAGGTGGATCTCTGAGTTCGAGGCCAGTCTAGTTTTTCAAAGTGAGTTCCCAGATAATCAGGGCTACACAGAGAAACCCTGTCTCGAAAGAAAAAAAAAAGTCTAGACTAGGACAGATATCATCTACTTCAACATACACACACACACACACACACACACACACACACACGCTCACCCTTCTCTCTCAGACAGAAGCAGAGGGCAACTCCAGCTGCAGTTGAGGGGCAGCAGCGTTGGAAAGGGTGGTGTGCGCATGCCTGGGCTGGTAGCTGCAGCCTTACCCTTCTCAGGTCTGTATACCTCCACAACAACCGACTGAACAACACTGGTTTGCCACCTACCACCTTCCTCGGTTCGGAGGCCATTACCACCCTAAGTCTCTCCAGCAATCAGCTCAGCTACCTGCCACCCAGTCTGCCATCCTCTCTGGAGCGGCTTCACCTGCAGGTACCCTGCCCACCATACACACATGCCGGGGCCCAGGTCTCTTAAGGGCAGCCTGTGGGGTTCCTTTGCCTGCTCCTTTCCCATCCTTTCAATGGCTCCTCAGAAGCCCAGATGTTAGAACAATCAGTTTAGAAAGAAACAAAACGTGGCTGCCTTGTACAAACAAGACAAGTTCCTGGACACCTTCTCTCAAGAGCCTCCTGTGGCTGCTGTAGCTGTCCAGCCAGACGCTCCACTTCACTCTCTCCTTCCTCCAGAACAATCTTATCTCCAAGGTGCCCAGAGGAGCCCTGAGCCTCCAGACGCGACTCCGGGAGCTGTACCTCCAGCACAATCAGTTGACAGACAGTGGCCTGGATGCAACCACCTTCAGGTAGGCACACAGCAGTTCTGTGCTGACAGCAGCCCCCAACCCAGTTCTTCATTCAGTGAGTACCAGTGCACACCCAGCTGCCATGAACATGAATGGTATTAGTTTGGCAGTATCTCTGTCTCCTGGTACCAGTTCTTGAGATTCTATTACCCAATAGTTGTGTTTTCTTATTCTGTGTGTGTGTGGTGAGGAGATGGAATACAGGTTTTTCTTTCTTTCTTTTTCCTTTTTTTTTTTTTTGAGATAGGACTTCTCTGTGTAACAGTCCTGGCTGTCTTGGAACTTGCTTTATAGACCAGGCTGACCTCTAACTCAGTGAGATCCTCCTGCCTCTGTCTCCCAAGTGCTGGGATTAAAGGCATTCACCCAGCTGGAATCCAGGCTCTTGCATATGCTAGGAAACAAAACAAGTCTTCCGTCTACACCACTATCACCCCTGCCACACACACACACGAGTTCTAGACAGGGAGACAGCTGTACCTCAGCTGTTTTGTTTTGTTTTTTGAAACAGGGTTTCTCTGTAGATTTGGAGTCTGTTTTAGATTGTTTTGTTTTTTTGACAGGGTCTCTCTGTGTAGCCACAGCTGTCCTGGAACCCTCTGTAGACCAGGCTGGCCTCCAACTCATTTAGCTCTGCCTTCCTCTGCCTCTTGATTGCTGGGACTAAGGATGTATGCCACAATGCCCAGCTTAATTTACTGTTATGTGTATGAGTGTTTTGCCTGCATGGATGTCTGTGCATGTGCGCAATGCTTGAAGAGCTGTAGGAGGGTGGCTGATCTCCCGGGACTGGAGTGAAGGCGGTTGAGAGCTGCTCTGTGGTGCTGGGATCCTAACACTGGTTCTCTGGAGGAGCAGCCAGTGCTCTTAACTGCTGAGCCATCTCTCCAGTCCAGCCCTAGATCTTTTGAAAGAATCTGGTTTAATGCAGTCCAGGCTGGCATGGAACTCACAATCCTCTCAATCACCTCATGAGTGCTGGGATTCCATACCTATACCCACGGCTGTTCTGGCCTTCCATATGTATTTCTGTATCATATCAATCTAGCTTTGTTGCTACATCGCTCTCAACCTGAAATCTCCAGTTTAAAGGAATCCTAAAACCATTCCCTTCCTTTCTGGTAAGATCTATAGGGGTGTCCTCCCCCACCCCCGGCCTCGCACTCATAGAGATCCATTTGCCTCTACCTCCCAAGTGCTGGGATTAAAGACGTGAGTCAACAACGCCCAGCGGGGTTCTCTTTCTTGAAGTGACCATTCCATCACCCCTCTCTCCCATCAGCAAACTAAGCAGCCTTGAGTATCTGGACCTGTCCCACAACCAGCTGACCGCTGTGCCCGAGGGTCTACCCGGAACCCTGACCATACTGCACCTGGGTCGCAACTGCATCCAGCAGGTGGAAGCGGTGCGGCTGCACAGAGCGAGGGGCCTGCGCTACCTGTTGCTGCAGCACAATGAGCTGGGGGCCTCGGCGCTGCCTGCCGGGACGCTGAGGCCTCTGCGGGCTCTGCACACGCTGCACCTCTACGGCAACAGGCTGGAGCGCGTGCCCCCAGCACTGCCCCGCCACCTGAAGGCCCTGGTGATGCCCCACAACCGCGTGGCCGTGCTAGGTGCTCGGGATCTGGTTTCTGCGAGAGCCCTGGCGGAGCTCAACCTGGCCTACAACCGCCTGGCCAGCGCGCGCGTGCATCCGGGTGCCTTCCGCCGCCTGCGCGCCCTGCGCAGCTTGGACCTGGCCGGCAACCAGCTGAGTCGGCTGCCGGAGGGCCTGCCCCCAAGTCTGCGCTCTCTGAAACTGCAACGCAACCAACTGCGGGCCCTGGAGCCAGAGCTGTTGGCCGGCCTGAATAAGCTGCAGGAACTGAGTCTGGCGCACAACCGGCTCCGCGTGGGCGACATCGAGCCGGGCACCTGGCACGAGCTGCAGGCACTGCAGGTCAGGGGTTAACTACAATGTGGTTATCTCTACCACACCGTTGGCCCAGCTACTCCCCAGTTCTGAGCCCAGGCATGCCACAGAGCCCCATGGGAGCAGCATGAATGGCTAAAATAGACCCTGTTTGAGTTGTTGCTGGTATGTCCCCACCTCCTCTATTCTACCCAGCTGGGTACAAGACAGGGCCCATATGTAAGCACTGGGCTCAGATGGAAAGGGATCCTGACAATGCAGAACCAAGGAATACTGAGTGCTACAGCTCGGTGGAAGCTGCTCTGGCAGTCGGGAGCCAGGGCACAGGGCACAGGGCACAGGGCACAGGGCACAGTAAGGGAAGCAGCTTGCAGCCCTGCTCTAGGGACGGTTTCCCCAGGGTAACAGCTCTGCTAGGGCAAGAGAGGGCTTCCCCAGCCAAGTTGTTACAGCTCCGCTGCTCAGCTCCATTCTCCAGGGTAACAACTCTGCTCTGCTAGGGGAAGGTTTCCCCAGCGAAAGTGTTACAGCCCTGCTCTGATCCCTAGTCTCTGGCATCCCCCACAAAGTAACAACTCCACAGCTCTGGCGGAAGGTCTTCACTCAAACCTTACTCAAGAGATTTATTGGGAGGGAAGAATCCAGGAGAGTGGCTGCCTCTGCCAGCGTGCAAGAAGGGCAGCCACAACCAGAGTATGAGCAGGGCTTATATAGGGCTTCCTAAGGGAGCAGTGTTTCCAGGGAGATTTTCAGGGTGGGAACTGGTCAGATTTCAGTCTCTTGAGCTCAGATTGGCTAGATCTCTGCTCAGGGATTGGTTTGTTTCCCTGCACAGGGATTTGGGCTAAAGCATTTCTTTCACTGGCTTGGTTTTCAGGGCCAGGGTGGGTTTCTTTGGCTGGCTCCTTTCTCCTACACCTTCTCTCTTTCTGACCCTAAGCATCCTAGTTAGGACAAAGGGCCATCTGGGCAATCAGTGTGATAGAAGGTAAGGAGCATGGCCAGATATGGGGACTGCACCTGGCTGCACAGCTCAGGGAAGGCTGAAGTAGGAAGGGGGAAGCCAGCTGAGACTACAGAAAGAAGAAAGAAAAGGAAGGGGAGGTGGGAGAGGTATGGAGGAAGGGAACTGAAGAAAAACCAAGGGTGTGAGTGAGGAGGATGTGAAGGACCACCATCCTCACATTCTGTGTCTTGTTGAATCAGACTGGTGGGGACCAGATCTACCTTCACATCTCATAAGTATAACAGAAATAGATCAGGCTCAGCAGATCTCTATGGAGTGAAGGAATTTGGCAACCATTATCAAATAAGAATCTGGAGGAAGCCTAGCTGGGCATGCAAGAGGCAGAGGACTGGGGAAGAGAGGGCTGGAAGCTCTTTGGCTGTGTGAGTCTGCCACGGTGCTGTCTGCCTGTCAGGTGCTGGACCTGAGCCACAATGAGCTCTCTTTCGTGCCCCCTGACCTGCCTGAGGCCTTGGAGGAGCTGCACCTGCAAGCTAACCGTATCAGCCACGTGGGCCCAGAGGCCTTCCTCAGCACACCCCACCTGCGTGCCCTCTTCCTGAGGTGAGAACGGGAGTCTGGATAAGACAGTAGCTCTTCCATCACTGCCCTGACATCCCTGCCTCTCTGCACAGGGCCAACAGGCTTCATATGACAAGCATCGCGGCCGAGGCCTTCCTGGGGCTTGCACATCTACGTGTGGTAGACACTGCAGAAAACCCAGAACAGGTCCTGGTCCAGCTGCCACCCAAGAACAGGGGAGCCCTGACCCCCAAGGGCTAGCCAAGTAGCCCTGAGCGCTGATGTACTGTGGACTAAGGAAGTTCTCAGTTGGGGCCTTGGAGGCTGGGCCTGTTCTGTCCAGAGCTGGTCAAAGCACTATGAACAGGTGTCTACTAGGGGTGGGGGGTGGGGGCTGAAGCAGGAAGCATGCTGACCTGAACATTCTGGGGTGCAGACTATGGTGATGGGGTAAATAAACTGGACCCCTTTCCACGTTCACACGGACTCACCACCTCAAAGGACTGACCTTCCGTCCCTGAGATCAAGTTGGGGGACAAGACCCTAGAATTTGAAGTCAGTCAGTTTGGTCCCACGGCCAGTGACTGATGTGGATGACCTGAGACAGGTAATTAAACCCAAAAGGCCCAAGCCACAGGCTCACCCAGGCCTTTCCAGAGAACTGGGCAGTGTGGGGAGCCCAGGCCAGCCACTGAGTGGGCCACATCAGGGAAAAAAAGGCAGAGCGGAGGCGGGCATGGCCTTGGCTGTTTATTCTGTGTTGGCCCTGGGTCAGCACAGCCCCTGGAGAGTCAGCTGAGTTTGACAGCCGCAGTGGCATCTTTGGAGAGGGCTGTGGGGTTCAGACTGGGGAGGGGCAGGAAGTAAAGTGCTTGCAGGGCCCTCTGGGCTTGTGTCCCAGCCACCCTCTGCTCCAGATGCTCCTGGATGTGCAAACAGGACTCTCCAAGGCCTACCCAGATACACTGGGATGAGGGTGCTGTCGCAATGTCCCTGGGGCCGGCCTGGACAGGGTGAGTCCAGAACCAACTGTCCGCTGATTGTCTGCTTGTCTGCTCGGTGGCCCTGGAGTTCTGCCTGGCACTGGACTTTGGGGCCTGTAGGCCAGAGATGAGCCTCACCTGCGGAGTCGCTGCAGCTGGGGAAGACATAGAGGGTCAGGAGACCATCAGCACATATGCCCCCCAGCCCCTCTAGCCACTCACCTCGCTCTCCACCAGATTCCGCCGGTACAATGCTTCCTTCGCAGCCTCCTAGAGGAAGGGACGATTAGCTGACAGTCTAATTAATATAAAATAGGGGCAGAGTCTGCCCCATACCTGAGTATCCACCACATGGGTTCGGCTTACCCTGCTTCCGTCATAGCCCAAGCGCCGGGCGGCCTCTGTATAGAAGTGCAGCTGACGCTCCAGATGGGTTGCATACTCTTGAGAAGTGGCAGTGGGGTTAGGGTCAGGCAGTTGCTTCTCCCCACTCCCCACTTTTGTCTCTGTCCCATTCCATGGGATCCTCAGTTTCTGCACACAGGTCTCTCCCCAGCCCCCTTCTTCAGTTCCTCCCTCACTATAAACACCCTCCCCAGGCCCACTCAGGCTCCTACCCTTGCGGATGGCAGCGCCCCCCTGCTCCAGCTGTGCCCTCTGCCACTGGCTACGCTGCACTACGTCCTGGTACTGCTGGGCCACTTCTGGAGGCACAGGCCGGCGTGCCTGCCTCAAGGCCAGGATCTAGAGGGTACAAAGGGGACTCTGAGCCAATCTGAAGTCCACTCCTAAGCCCACCGCACTGAGCCCAGCAGGCCAGGCACCCACCTTCCTTTCTAGCCGCTCTTGGTCAAAGGCCAGCACACTCAGGCTATGCAGGGGACGTGCTGACCTGCAGGGCAGAGGAGAATGTCGGGCTACAGAGGAAGTGGTGGGGATCCAAAGGAGTCAGCTGGGCAGGGGCACAGGGGGTAGGGGATCTCAGAGGGGCCTCAAAGAGTCCAGAGACCAGAGAAAGTAGACCTGATGCTAGAGGTTCTGGGGCATGTCTGTCACCCCAACACTCAGGCAGGGGGATCATGAATGAGTCTGAGACCTGTTAGAGGAGAGAGACAGAAGTGGACATGTCCACAAACTGAGAGGAGGACAGAGTGAAGAAAGAGGGGCTGAGTATGTTGACAATGGGCAGATCACAAAAGGACACATAGAGGCTTCTGAACCCAATTCCCCAGGGGGAGGATTCGAGACCGGCTCTGAAGCCAGACAGGACACGGTCTGATGTGCCATGGAAACCACAGAAGGAGCTGAGAGACAAGAGCGTTCCCCTCAGTGTGACCTCTCCCAGGCTCACCTGTTCCCTGAGTCCCTCCAAGAGGTAGCAATGGGAGGCACCTTTGCTTTGGGACCAGTGACCTGTTTCAGTGGAGAGAGCCAGTCTAATGAGTTCTGAGTCCCTGAGCCCAGCCTTCCTCTCAGGGGTGGCTGATGAGCAGGACTCACAGTGGGCACAGCTGCTGGGAGGTGGTCAATGACCAGCCACCTCTCCGTTGTAGTCTCCAACTGCTGGGCTGTCAGTGGCTCCCGGATCCGGACCATCACTTCAAGTCGCCCCCCAGTGGGCCGTCGTCCATCCAAAACCTAAGTAGGAATAAGGGGTGCTGTGGGCAAGAGCAGTCATCTCACACAGGAGCTGGGGGTGGCGCTGGTGACAGCAGACCAGCATGCTCCAAGTCGACATGCACCCACTGCCCTCACCTCCAGGATCTCATGGACTTCACAAGCCGTCTCCAACATATCCAGTTTCAACTGGGCTGTGCCCAGCACCCTGTCGGTCTTGAACAGCCCCCTGTGTAGGAAGGTGCAGGAAGCTGTGAGGCAGGCAGGCTGCTCCACAACCCTGGAGCCTAGAACCTGCCATCTCTGGCTTACCCCTTGTGGACCACTTCGAACTTGATGCCCTTGGTTTGGATGGCCCTTCGGAAACCACGGTGGCCACGGTTGATGCAGAGTTTGAACTGTTCTTTAAATTCTATGCAGGGAAGGAGGGAAGAATGAGAAGAAACCGGCTGTGTGGGAGAGTGTGTGTGTGTGTGATTGTAGTGGTCAAAGCACCACCTCAGGTGTCAGTCTTCATCATCAGCCTTGTTTGAGACAATGTTTAATTTGTGCACCCCAGCCTAAGGAACCCACAGGCTTGCTTGTTCTCACCTCACTATAGGAGTGTGGGATTACAGAGGCATGTTACTGCGCTACCTTTAAGTCAGATCTGGAGATTCGAATTCACACACTTCAGCTTGCACTGCAATTGCTTTACCTACTGAGCCATCTTTCTGTGGTTTTTTTTTTTTTTTTTTTTTTTTGAGAGTGCTAGGGATGAAACCTGGGGCTTGTGCATGCTGGGGTACACCTAAACTACAACCTGACTCTGGCCCCAATCCCAGATCTTCTTCTACAGCAGACAGGTAACTCACCAGGGGAGTCTGTATTTTTGATCACACTGGTCTTGTCTTTTTGAGCTTCTTCCTGTATCAGGGAGGAGGAAGGAATGATCAGATCCAGGCTAGACCTGGACTTCCTGCTTGTCTTGCTTCCTGGTTCCCACCTACTCAGAGATTGCACCTACCACATTGGGATAAGGGAAGTCAAACCGGACAAAGGCATCCAGGTCACTGGGGGACAGCCCTGCAGGTAAACAAGGGTCAGACCTTGGGAAAGAGACCAGCCCACCCTTGCTTCTGAGCCGCTGCCAACCTCACCTGTGGGTGTGGGCAAGTTGATGCCCTTCACGATAAATAGAAGCATGTCGTTGTTGCTCAGGTCCGGAAAGATCCTTTCAGTAAGCAGGGAAACAGAGGCGGCACCTCAGCTTGAGCCTGTAGCTCTCATTTCCCTCTAGACTGTGGGGTGTCACTCTAGGGTTCAGGCTGTAGAGTTAGGCATTCCCTTACCTGACTTCTGGGCTCTGTTCAGTGCTCATATATTTATTTGATACTCACTTCTATTTATGTTTCTGTATTTATTGTGTTTACATACATGTGCATGTGTTCGTGTGCATGCATGCAGGTGTGCCATGTCATACATGTGAAGGTCAGAAAAGAAGCTTTGAGAGTTCTCTTTTTCTTTGAACTCGGGTTGTCAGGCTGGTGGCAGGTCCTTTACTTACCTGCTGACCCACTTCACCAGCCCTCGTTGGCCAGTTTTATTTGTGCACCTACTGTGCAAACAGTGGCATTTTAGCTGCGCCGTTTACTCTGTATCCCTGGACCAGCCAGGATTCCAGCTGCTGTGGAGCACAGGCTAGCCAAAAACTTACTTTGTAGCCAATGATGACCTTGAATTTCTGATCCTCCTACATGTACTTCTGGTTCAAGGTCCTGGATTCCAGGATCTCATACATGGTGGGTAAGCATTCTACCGACCAAGCTAGACACCCAGTCCCTTCCTTTCATTTAATAATCATTGTCTGAGTGTCTCCAGGTGTCAGCCGGGGACCTAGTCAATGCAGCACTGCATGCACGCCCAGAGCCTCGGCATGTCTGTACTCCTACCATGCATTTACTCTTGACCAGAGTTGAGTCCTGCAATAGCTTCCAGAAGTGTAGATCCCTCCCCAGCAGTACCCCAGTCAGGGGGCTGTGGGCCCTACTTGATAACACTGAAGGTCCTCTGCTCAAAGCGGGCAGCAGGTGTGGGCAGACTGCGGGCAAAGGCTTGTTTTAGGGTGTCCATGCTCCGCTTACAGTCTTCTGCCAGCTTCTCGAACCTGCAGGAAAAGGTATTGCTTGGGGCCCTGGTCAGCTGGGCTGCCAGCGCAGGTACCTGCGAGGCAGACACTTACTTGATAGTTTCAGCAATGTTACCCAGATGGGTGAACTGTGTGGCGTGGTTCAGACACATCTGCGGGGGAAAGCGCTGAGTATGAATGGAAGGCCAGGAGGAACAGTAAGGGACAGGATAGGGTCATGGGTGGGACCTCACTTCATGCTGCTGTCTCAGGAGTTTGGTAAGCTCCCCGTAGCGCCGCACAGCCTCCTGAGACAGGCCGGGGCCAGGCCGCTGCACCAGCACAAAATCGTCCTTGTTGACAGGAGCAGGTGGCACCTGTGGAGGATGAGGCTGGTAGGCAAGAGGCTGCTGGCCCACTAGGAGCAGCTTGTCTGGGGATCTGTCTTCTTCCCTGCCCCTTTATCTCCAGTGTCTGGGGTCTCCCTTCAGTTCCTACACTGCCTGACATAACAAAGCCATCCTCTGGGCATCCAAGCCTGTCTGGGCAGCCCCGTACATGTGAGGTCCTGATCCGTGGTTGGGGGACTAGGGATGCAGCAGTGAATAGAGACGGTGGCCAAGCACGGTAGCACACCAGTGATCTTAACACAGAGACGGGGGCAAGAGAATCGGAAGTCGGAGGACAGCATGGGGTACACAGTGAGTTCATAGCCTGCCTGTGTACAGTACAGAGACCCTATCTTTATTTTAAGAAAAATCAGAACTAGAAAT